ATTGCTATCTTAGTACTAGAGAGCAGTTCTCTGGGCTGTCGAACACTAGGGATAAGATAATAAGTTAACGACTTATTTCGAGCCTGCTTTTGATAAGGACCGGTGGATGTCCTGAATTCCACACTACCTGCCTACATCCCATCCACTTTTCTGCAGAGGTGATCCACCCTGGAGCTCCTGCACCCTTAACCCTTTGTGGAGGTGTCCTTCCCCCTGGTCCAGGACCGTTCCCTTGGGTCATGGCAGGCGGAAATGTGAAAACGTTCAGGGTTTCTCACCCATTACACCAATATTTATCAGAAGTCTACTTTAAATGAGTCGATTACGTGTCGTGAGCCCTCTAATCCTTATCTTGAGTATTGGAGAAAAAATGGAGTGGCCCCCCCGAACTGGAGTTTCACCCAGAAGTCAAGTGATGCATGTTCTACAAGTAAATTATCGAAGTATGGGAGTACACTAATCGTCACAACCTCTTTCGTCGCCATTTGACTGCAACAGGGTGCAGCTTCCAAAAGAAGAAGAGTCTGCGTCGATCTTTACCGACCGAATTCAGCATCCTTTCATTGAATTCTTTCTTAGTATATGTGCGTAGCTTGAGAACTTAGGGTGAAGAGTGTCATTCCTATCGACTTAGCAATGCCTTACAAAGGAATGTGCTAAAGTTGAAGTGGAGAAGGGGCTGTGCACGCATCATTGAAGCGTCTCACGGCTAAGGAAAGAATTGTCAATTTCCTCAGACATGGTTTTTGAGACTTCTTCAGCAAATAATTACTCTTTTTGCAGCTATGGTTACCAGAATATGAATGAAGGCTATAAACATTCTCGCAGTTTGGGAGTTTTGTGATTTGCTAAGGTTCAATTGCTCGAATTGCGACGAGTACTATTTGCTGGAGTAAAGCGCTCCACGCTTTAGCAGTGTTGCATTATTTAGCACACGATAAGGTGGGATACTTGATGCATCTCCCACATGGGTGTCAGAGCTGTTTCAAGACACTTTTTGCGAAGAATGTGTGTCGACAGTGGCTCAACAAGAAGGATGACAGATGTTCCAATAGAGGACAGAGAAGAAAAAAAAGAATCTTTCAGAACATCAAATATAAGTCTCCTTTCCATGTTAATTGTAGGTGCTACGTAACATTATGAAGAGGGCAGATGTTACTCGGAAGAGAAGTCAGACTGCAAATGAGAAGAGAACTCAGAAAAAAAATGAGGTTGAAGGTGACGTACTAGACTTTCACAAAGGAACAAGCCGGGTAACCCTGCCGCGAACCGCGAAGCGGCCGAGTTTCCTATCTCGCTCTGGAGAGGAATGACGACTAGCTAATCACAAACTGCACCTCTGAAGGCAGAGAAAACGATGGTTGAAGGGGGAACACTTTGAGAAGGTCATTTGGTGGAAGGAGTTTTGGAGTGTTCCCACCTACCCCCCCCCCCCCGCAGCTGAGGGATGCAGTCCACCAATGACGTTCAACTATATCATTAAAGCAGCTCAATTCACTGCCTCAACTTCAACTGTGAGAACGACCATCTGCCTTGTTCGTGGTCTCACTGAATACAAGAAAATTCGGCCATTCGGTCGTAATTGGTTCGAACATTAGATCAAGATAGAGCTCCATTTCATGCAATGCCCTACCGAGCTCTCAGAATTTTATGCATGCTTTTCAAGTGGGAAACATGTGAATCAAAGGCGATAGTGTTCATGTGTAGTGAAGATAGGAAGTTTGTGAAAAAAACATACAAAAATGAATCAGTTAATTGAATACGTGTGGTGCGCCAGTAGCATGCGTGCTGAAGGTGTTAAACAGGTGTTAAGATAAGCATGATTACCGCTATCAGCCGAGTTGTCCTCACTACCTTCCAGCAGTGTGCCATCTGAGGGATGGGTGGAGCACGAGTAGGCGCCACATGTACTGTTGCAGAGCCCGTAGTGCGCATCCTCTGCACTTCCGGTGTCACTGACGATTCGAATGCGGAGGTGGCTTCAGACGGAAGAACCCGCCCGGAAGCGGTTGCGATGGGTAAGGGTGAGGCCGCCGTTGTGGGGCTGAAAAAGGGGAATGACTTCACAATTTCGCACAACTATCGAAAAAAGATTGCTGATGTCTCAATTCCATCGCTTAAGTGGACGTCCAAAAAGATACCTTTCCGGAGCGGAGTTGTCCTCGTTTCTGGAGAAGTTGCCTGGTGTGATACGAATTCCCTGAGTTGTTCGGAAAGGCAGCCGCTGGCCTGGAGTGGTAGAAGCGGGAGTCGTTGGAATGCTGTCTCTGACTGGAATGGTTTACTCGTAATATGTAATACTTCAGCAAAGGTATTCATCCCGAAAAAGGAGCCGAGTTAGAGCAATACGAACCTTTTGCAATGCCACAAGTCGACTCGCAGTCCTCTACTTTCTCGAAGTTGTTTTTGTTGCCTTGGCATCCTCCCCAGAAGAAGTATTTGCACTCCTGTAATAGCTCAATAAAACTCATTAATGATGATTATTCGACAGTATTCTACCTTAAGAAAACAAATTTCTGTAGTACTACCCTGATATCAACACTTCCCCTTACTTGATGTCCCACGTGCTATGAATAGGGCGCTTTTAAAGGACGAATTCACGATGAAAAAGCAACCCATTTCAAATTAACCTAGGGATGGTGAGTGGTACACGAAAGAAGGAAGAACCATGAGAAACGGCCCAGAACCCGAGAAATGGGACCCCTTCCTTGCCCGTTGATTTGCAGTGCCCTCTTCAACACTACGCTCTCTCACTATCTAATCACCACGTATAGACCTGCGGCGAGTGATCAGATGATCGGTGGGCGTGCACTGGCCCACCGCGCCAAGATTGAGCCTTAATAGGTCGCCGAGGTCAACTCCTTCGGTGCCAATTGCGCTTCAGTCCGCACCCTTAGGAGGTCCGCGGGTCCCTCAACTAGGTGAATTACTCCTTCTTCGACCTTCATTCTAATCGTGAATTCGTCCTTTAATCTACGGCCACACAAAGCACCTAGTACATAGCGGGGTGGGCTCAAAGTGAAGCCATTTATATTTACTTAAGGGAAGCCACATAGGGGAGAAAAATCACTACAGTTCAGCGCAAGACGAATATGTCTTCAGGGCGATTTACAATAATTTTCCGATCTTTTTGAGCATGTTACGTATCACCTCTATTCATGTGCTTCATGTGCTCCTACATGGCCAGTTATGCTGTCGCAGGTGCACCTTCTCCACTGATGTTCCGCTGCTGGAAATCAGCTTAGGAGTAGCCAGATTCAGTTGTATTATACAACTGAACCCTTCACCAAAAATCCCCTGGTTTTGAGTATTTGTGGAGCGAAAAAATTAACTGCTGATTGGAGCTCCATACCACCAAAATCTGGCGCTGCTTGTTCAAAAGCATTCGAAAGGGTGAACGGGTAGCCTAATCCACCTGCACTTACGGCGATCCATCCCTCTCAAAAATGCCCCTCAAATAACCAACCCCTCAACTAATTTAGAGCAAAAAAAGGAATACAAGGTTTTCAATAGCGATATGTAGCATGGCATCGAGGTCCAACTATCTTCGATCGCACTAGCCAGCGGGTAACCAGCTATTCCTTTCAAAAAGCTGCCTGGGAATTGAGCGGAAACCTCTCTTTGAACTGAGGAGGTGGCAAGGAGGCTGGCTGTAATGGCTGGCGTCACTTAAAGCGTTAATGTTGTCACTCTCTTCCTCGGCAGCTAAATGGTCACTCATTGTGAGCATATGATCACTCAGTTGTCGCAGAGGCGCATCAGCTGTTTTTGAAAGTCAGTAACAATGAATGAAATCAACCTTGAGCTCAGCGTTGAAGTAGAAACGCAGTTCATATTTGTCGCATGGCCCTCGCTCCTTTGGTAACGAGCATACGTCCGCAGAACCAGATGTTTGGAGACCAACTGAAACAAGACCACATTATTCAGCAGTATGCGTAGTTCCTTAATTAAAAGATCAGGAAATCATTCCCAGCACAGAAGGAAAACATCGCTGACTGTTTACTTTCAAGGCACATAAAGCTGAAGTTGAACAGTAGCTCTCTTGTTGCCCCTTTATGTAGATATGCCTTTAGCCTTGCATGCGTTTTGCCATTTTAAATATGTTTCTTTTTGCCCAGGTGGCCTAAAAACTGATCGGTACAGGTGTTCCTAGGGGACTTTGAAGGATATAGCAGTTTGAAACAATCAAGGCGGTCGTGATCAGCACTCTAAGTGGCCGCAAGCACAAATTAGATCATCGGTGAAAGAATTTGACGACCGTTCTGATCAATCCAAGCCTATTTTCTCGACGTTTTCTCAAGGAAAAGAAGATAAGATGATGCCATCAAAGTGGTACTATAGTCGTGAGTGCAAAGAAATTTGTCAAAATTTTACACGATTGAGTCAGGTCTCCTGGTAGAGGAAAATCTTATTCTCTATCGCACGCCTAAACCTGACGGACAGTGCACGTGACTAGGCATGCGCTGCGCCATGACCTATTCGGGTAGACTTATCCGTTATCCAATGGCCCGGAATACGGAATGCGAATTGCCTGTTTCCTGGCTCAAACTTGAATCGCGGACGGTTATCGTTAAAATATGCTCATTTGGAACCCACCGTCCACATCGCATAAAAAGAATTCGAACGTATTCACTTCATACTAAATCCAGAAACTTTCATAAACCTCTTGACGGAAAAGCTAGAGATATCTTTCAGTAAAATCTTCGCGATTATCAGACAGTTCTGCTTTCACTATTTAGTCCAAGAAGCCTTCTCTTGTTTGACCTGACCGTTGCCTTGCAGATTTCGAGAAAAAAAAAGCCTCCACTCAACTCATCTTCCAGCACAAAGTCTCCCTACACAGTAACATGTTTAACAAACTCAGATTTCCTTGTCGATTTATCTTAAAGGAAGCGGTCACGCTGGCTTCCACGTAGAATTTGCTACCCTCGCGTTATCAATCGATAAGGTGTGAGGCAGTAATTGTTGGACGAGTGTAAGCCCATGGAAGATATGATACGATGAGATAAGAAGGTGCGGCTGCTTGATAAGAGGTGCACTCCAGAATGAAAACGGGACGATAACGATAACGGTATCATATCTAGCACGCTCTTATCGCACCCCTTTCCACATCGATAAGTCTTGGTTTTTGCTGAACGGAAGTGGATTTCGGCGCCTTATCACTCCGTTGATAACTCCGTGTGAATATGGACGCCACTGCCGAAAACTCACGTGTCTGTAAACACTGGGTAGTACCCTCTATCCACTCCAATTACATAGCTTCTTTTATCGTTCCCATGAAAATTATCGTGAGCACTTCCTTTAAGTCAGAATAATATAGAACTCACTAATTTTATTGTTTTCAGGACAGCAGACGCTGGTTTGTTGGACGATGCTGCACTTGTAGCCGTACGGACAGTCGGACTTGGCACAATTCACCTGCGCATAGTTTCTCTTCAATGCGTCACCCTGGAAGCGAGGACATACTCTCTGGATCAAAGCTCATTTTCCATTGCCACTCTGTGACAACCAGGCCCAGCATTAATTATAATCATTGATTGGTGAGCAATTGGTTTCGTTCCATTTTTTCAATGAGACGGGACAACCTTACGCATTAGAAAAATTGATAAAAAATATTGGAAAAGACTACCGTTAATGAAGCGACCTACATTCAGTCATGCTCCTTCACTCGAACAGGCGAGTTCGTATTTATGAGCTCTAGTGTTCTTCTGACTTTCTTTGGGAAGTGTACACAAAATTCGCATTCGTATTTTGATTGAATTATTGAAAGATCAGCTTCAATGATTCTTGATGGAGCTTCGACTGGGTGTTAAACTTATAGCAACTTACGGCGGTCAGCAAAATGCAAATTGGCGTTTTTAGGCATTCTAATGAGCCCGATAATGATTAGTGACCTCGATAACATGTTAGATGGCCTGGGCGAGATGTAAATGTCCTTCATATCCTTCAGGTGTAAATGCCAAGTGTCACGCCAATCAGTGGGTCATGGGCGGACGCCTGGCATTTACACCTGAATGAATCATATAGGGGTTTTTTGAACATTTTCCAGCAAAATGCGTCATATATGGCCACTAATTGCAGTTTACAGTGTTCCATGCATGAAAACTCAGTTTCTGGTAAGAAGCTACGACCACTGGAAGTCACCTTTTGTGTACAGTTCACAGAGCTTTGGGCGGTGCCAAGGCGCGCGCGGAACGGAGTACGTGGTGGGGCTCCAGGTATCGGATATTGGGGAAGCAGAATTAAACGTGGAATATTGGACGATTGAAGATCAAGAGCTCACATTTGTGGGGCTACGGGACGTTGGTCCTTTTCATCGGCTACGTCCTCCTGCATTAACCCTTTGGCGACAATGGCACCCACCGGTGGGCGCCACTATGGCTGCCGCGTGGGACAATGGCACCCAATGGTGGGTGCCACTTTAAAATGGTCTTCCTTACGCATTTAAAACATTTCCAACATGTCAGTTATTATAAGCAAGCTTCGTTATGTCTATGTTTAACATATTTTACAGAAGTGTTTGATACTAGCTAATTTATATGAAATTTTGGAATGTGGCACTTCGCTCGGCGACATAATAACTAGTCTTTTACATAATTAAGCTTAAGGTGAATTAGCGATCAGGACCTCTACGTCTTTTCATAGTCTTTAAGACACAAGGAGGAGTTTGAACTATATCAAAATACTTTGTACATATGAACTTCTAGAGTTTTTAACCACCATCCCTTTGAAATCCGAGTTAGCCTTCCAAACGTTCAATTCGTTTCCCAACAATGTGTACTATGAAAGCTCTCATCTGTAGTTACATTTTGTCTATTGGTAAAGTCAAAAATCAGATAGAAAAACTGCGTTTAGGGAAATTTTGCATAATGTTGAGCGAGAGTTGGGCGCGCCAAAAAGAGGCGTGGTCCCACGAGCACGCTACGTGCAAATCCGCATTGTCGTCAAAGGGTTAAGAGGAGAAGAAGAGAAGAAGAGTGAAATGCTCATACTGTATGTGGTGAGGTAGAAAAGATTTCCTAGTGACGGCACCCAGAGGAACAAGTGGTAGCGTCCCGCCGCCAACACTTGTGAGAGTTGCGCGGCGAGAATTTGACCAAGTACTGGTCCCCTTATTTCTTCGTATTTTTCACTAGGACAACCCGAATTTGTCCCTACTCTCACTTCTCACGTGAAGGATGGATCTCAATCCACCGATTACTATGGGTATACAGTAGCGGTCAAAAGTGTTCGCCGAAACGGTTTTTCGTGCTTCTCTTTTTTTGCCAGAAAAAAAATCAATGGTGGCCTCGAAAATTTTTCTTTTGAATATCCTGATTCTTTAAGACTTGAGGATATAAAAACACTAGAAAACATAGTATATCAATCTTTGGAGGGCGTTGCTCAAGCGAGAAAAATAATGCACTAAAAATCGTTTCGGCGAACACTTTTGACCGCTACTGTACGTATGTAGATCATGCGGTTTCCGTGCACGATTCCTTCAGGTTTCTACATGGATTTGTAGGCACAATCTTACATATACTTTTTCGAGGTGTAATTTTTCGAGGCTCTTTGTATTCTCAAATCCGGAGCCTGTCATCCTATGGTCCAAGCAAACATTGCGCCACCTACTGACCTTATTTGGCAAGGTTACGATCGAAGATCCGACAGTTGACAACGAGCGGTGCCACGAAGCAAAAATGATCAGATCGGCAACAAAGAAAAGGCGGAATCGATTCAAAAGATTGTGGCAAAACGGTCCCACTGACTTGAAAGTACTCACAAAGAGAGTCGCTTTCTTGTGATTTTTTCAAAGTGTTACCAAATTTGACTCACTTTTTCGCATTTCGGCAGTCCCATAGGTGGAGGGGCACATCGATGAGAGCATGCCTCTTCGGTGTCGTAATTGTTTCCATTTCCACCACATCCCGAGAACGTAAATCTCTGCAAAAGGTTTATCATCTCAAAGTCGCAATCACACTTTTTTCAGTCGTCTTGTCAAAGTTTTTTTTACAAATCCGAGATCTCGGATGAAGGTGCGAAGTTACACGTACTTCGAGGCAAATGAATTGTTGATCGCCTCAACGGCTGACTACAAAAAAGCGCCACGAAGCAAACACCGCTACGAATTACCTTGCATTTCGCTTCCTGTTCATCGTAATACCATCGAGTCAGCGCTGCAGAGCATGGCCCACGCGCTGCTCCTCCAACACACTCCTTTGTCTTCGGCATGGAGAAGAAGATTGAATACCTAAGACAGGTTGAGAAACAATCCTTGTTGAGAAAGTTTCTTACCGTCACAATCGGGCTTCTGCCCATTGCGAGTACGGCTATTCGCGATTTCGATTCCTCTCGCATCGACGCAGAAACACTGTCTACCATCAGGTTCACACTGAAATTCACTAATGCTTATTTCAAGGATCAACAACAGGTTTGCCAGAGCTTATTCGTAACTTGACCCAAATGGTAAAAATTATTCGTGTTAGCGTTGATCAATTTCCTGTGTGATGTATTACCCCCATATGGTCTCACCCGTGTTTGTGCGCTTTATGCATCACTGTTAATCACTGGTTTCGCACGCCCCTTCAAAAATGAAAGCCTAACTAATATGAGGAGTTACTATTTTAATAACTGAGGCGCTGTTTCCTCGAAATTTGTCCATGGTGTGAATTTCGCTAGAAAGTTGTTCGCTAGAAAGTTGTTCCCGAGTTTGATCTGTAGAACGAAGAAGCTCAGCGCGAAAACGTCTGGCGGCCTTTAATCAGCAATGTGTCGGCGCCAAAAGCTCGCCAGTACTTGGGTCACCCAATGTCTGAAACTGTCCAGAGTATAATTTATTCCGTTGAAATGGTTTATCAGATATCTGATCTTGCTGCGCGTACTGCTTGTAGCTGTCTATTCGCGACTGCGGCGTGCATTTTCTTAGAATTGAGGCAGTCAAAGGTTAAGTAAGGCAGGATGACCGTGGCCGTATCGCATTATTCAAGACGAGGGAGCTGCAGTTTTGCGGTTGAGCCAGGTAATAACAGTTGCGAATGGACGTTGACGGAGGAACACTCGTGATAGTGAAGGTAGTGGTCAGAGAAGGGGTAAGGAGGGTAGTACTGAGGAGCCCTTAATAGACTGACGGAGGTGGTGGGCTCGCATCGAGCCTCCCCAAAGGAAGGGGTTCTTGAAAAAATGCGAATGTGACGGTTGACCCTGGTAAGTAGTGCGCCTTTGTGTCCGGTGATCAGGTGTGTTTCCATTAGACTTCACAACACACAAAAGATGAAGCCTCCACTGAATGTGGTAGTTTTCTTCCATCAGAAATGATTATCCGGTTGCAATTCAATCAATTGTCACTAACTACAACTCCCAATTATCAGTTATCAATTATCCTCAAAAGCTTCTAGTTATAAGATTTACTTAGAGCTGCTGTCATTGTGTGATGCAGATCTTGTAGTGCAGATTTTTCTGTAAAGCCAGAGTGGCAGTATTATTGTGGAAAGAAATGGAGATCAATAGACACTTATAGCCTTACATACGAAAAGATGAAGGCTCACATTTTATATTATATTACTGGTACATCTACTATGCTTGGTGACAATCAGTCCCCCAAGATAAGGAGACTCATTCTTCGAGATTATTGGCGAAGGTCAGCGTTGTTCGGGTCATTGTTTTTATTACGCTTGACAAGACGCGCACTAATGCTCTCATCAAAGTCCTTTTTGTAAAACAGCGCTAGGAACAAAGTGCGGATTTCTTTCTTGACCGCAGTTAAACCGATAGCCTAGAAACTTCAGCAAGTTGTAAAAGATGTAATCGCGAGAGGTCAACGGGCGATGGGGGAGGGATGAGATGTCCTGATAACTGAATGAATAAGCTATCTGAAAATAACGGTTCCTTACTGCGCTGCTTGTCGGCAAAAAGAAAAAGTAAGACGGTGTGAGCACATCGAAGTAGTGCAATTGATGTAATGTTTCCCAATATCTGGAATATTTGGCAAAATTCCAATATTAATTAATTCAATTTGACAGTATTTGGAATATTTGGCCTGCAAGCTCGTACGCCTTTTCTTGTAGATCGTCCGATAGTAGAGAACTCACCTCAGGTTTGCTGATATTATCCCACCTGGTTATTGTTCGCTGATATTTTTGCTAACTCGTTGCAAATTTTTAACTTATGCTAATTTAATTTTACGTGTTCAAGGCACAAATAACTGATAAACCAAATAAATAATTTCGCACTTCTCTCATTCGCTTCGTGTGTCCACCATTCAGGAAAACAAAAAACTGCAGTCTGAACTTTCTCAAGGCTCCATAGCAGTACAGGCCAGGAACGCAGCCACCGCCGGATTGGTGATGACGCCGCGAGCTGCTTCTCGTTCACATTCTGAAAAAAAGGCAATTGGAGCCATTGCTGTCACGATGTTGAATTGGCCCATAATTTATTACGCCGCAAATATTTTTCCAAAAAAAGCAGCGGAACAACTTCGGGAGTTAATTCGCCGTAAGGATCTTCACCACATTCAAACAAATTGATTGTCAGCCTTGCTTGACTTCCCAGTCAAAATTGGATTTATTCAGTGGCATTCAGCCTCTGCAGGGTGATAGGAAAGGCAAACTTCGATTGTGGCACAAGGTTGTTGGAAAAAGCCCGAGTGGTTGCTTACACTCGGAAGGTGGGGATTTCCCGCAGTTACAAATAGGCATGGGAAAGGCTCACCTGTCTTTTGGAGCAGATGCGGACGATTGCGTCGATGTCGACTTGGATGCGTTGTCGGCCTGAATACTCGTGCTACGCTCAGTCGTCGTTGTATGAGTGCTTCGTCTAGTGGTTGTGCTTTGTGTGGTGGATGGTTCTGTGGTGGTAGTGGTAGTGGATGGCTTAGAGGTGGTGGTGGTGGTGGTGGTGGTGGTCACTATTTTAGGTAGCTGCTGGTACCTCCTTGCTGTTGATGACTTCAGCTGACGTCTTCACGAGCTCTTTAGCTATCTTCGCGCTCGAATCCAGCACTTTTTGCTCTTCGGTAGTGCTTGTTGTTGCATCCGTCGTTACTGCCGGTGTTTGTGTGCTCGTTGCAGTGACCTCTAAGGAAGTCGTCGATGTTTCAGTGGTAGCAGTGGATGGCTCTGGGGTGGTAGAAGTTGTTATCGGCTCCGTGGAAGTTGCGGGTGCTTTCAAGAGTGCTTGAGAGCCGTGGCGGTGGCAGGTTGGTTGTCGTCTATCTCTTCGACGGTCCCGTTGTCTTTAGCGATACCTGTGGTGAAAAAGACATGCAATAGAAAAAAGATTAGCATGCAGGGAGAAATGGGAAATGATAGACCGGTGCACATGCAGCATGCTCGTGAAACTCTTTGTACCTGTGTGGTTTCGGTAGTTATCTGAGTCACAGCCGCTTCATCGGGGCGAACATCATTGCCGACAGGGCCAATTGTGATGTACGTCTGATCGATATCGACTTTAGGAGAGCCAAGATTAGCTAAATTACGAGAACATTTATGACCCCGTTATAGAACATCGGTGTCCCGCAATCATATTTCACATGTAGTTAAGTCGGGCGAGGGTTTTCCACTCACCGGGGACAGGATTTGTGAGCATTTGTCAATAAATTGTGGTAGGTGCAAGGTAAATAAATGGCATTCGTATAAGCATATTGAGCTACGTGCCAATTTGCCAATACGATCTCCAAGGCAGAACTAATAAAACCCCCATTTTACCCTCGGGCAAAGCAGGCCCGATTCAGGACCTCATGAGCCGCATTTCTTGGTCCTAGCCTCCTCTCCCACGCCCTTCCGTCCTTCACCCCAATAAAACCCTACGTACCATCCTCAAAGTTTCCTAGAAATATCCTTGTACTGCATCGAATTCTGCTTCTGTCTCATGAAAATACGCTACCAACCTCTATAAACATGATCGCATTGTTTCCCTATGGTGAGACTCAAGTACGCCCCCACAACCAAGGATCGTGACGTACGGCTTGCCCTGCATAAACACCAAATGCAACAGCGAAAGGAAAGAAATCAAGCACATATGACCAACTATTGAAAATCTTGCAAAACAAGTTCATAGCTACCCAAAAATGTAGAGAAAATGTAGAGTTGTAGAATTCAATTACAGGAGTGAATGGATGAAAATGACACCTTCCTGACAATTTCATCAAAAATGAATTTGAAGTATCAAAACAGCAATAGGATGGGATACATGGTTATATGGCAGTGGTGAAATTCACGACTTCCCGTGTCAGAATGGGGAAAGATAAAAATTGAATAGTCGAATTGTTTGAGAACCACATGTACCCTTTTTTTTTTAATGAGAATGTCTTAGACCACATTCGTTTCAAAAGGCCTCTTCTGATCTTTGAAGGGGGCTAGGTGGAGGAAGGCAGGAGAGACATGTTCTGTGAGTTGTGGCACTAACCTGGCGGAGGGTTAATGCAAGCGTCTTCACATTCCTCCTTATATCGATAAAGTTGTGGCTCCGTATCGTCGCTGTTGCAGTGACCTTAAATTCGTAAAGATTTTAGTATATGGCTATGATCCCGCGTGTCAGTGAATTTTGAAGGATTTATGCATGGGCCCGATACCACATCGCAAAATGTCCGTATTTATTGTTTACCAGATTGGTCCCCCGGCAAGCGCCGGAACCTCCCTACCTTGCGTAAGCTTTCCCTTCTCCCTCCTCTCCTTACTCTCCCCTCGTTCCCCTCTGCTCGCCGGCTACCACAGCATCACCTTGTCGAATGACCGAAAGTGTGCTAAGTGCGTGTTTATATAGCCGTTGGGGATGCTATCACAATCATGCCATTGCAAAACACTAATAGCTAAAGTCCTGTGAGCTACATGATTCTGTTAGCGGTTTGTTTATCCCATGAGCTTCCTTCTCACTCACTTCATTTTGCGGACGGACACACATACATACATACATACACATACAGACATACAAACCGACACACAAAGTTAGCGCTTTATAAAATAGAAGGATTGCACTTTGCTAACAATTTCTTTGGGAATCCATTCTCTTATTGAATTCTCGGATTTTGCCGTATTACTGATTTTTCTTGAAATGATTCGCTTATCCTTTATTGATGTACGCATGCAATGTTCCCCTGTGAGCTGTAGGGGCAGGGCTGATTTATCTAAGGACCGTGCCGAGGTTAAAGGTTCCACGCCCTCGGGTAAATGGGTTGTTGGCCAGCCATTGCGTTGTGCCCTGATTCCATTGCTCTATCTAAAAACGTAAATATACGAAGGCATGTTTATGTTCGAGCGATCGTTTTGCTTTGCTGAACTGACATCCGCTCGCGGTTTTGTGGGTTTTCCACGACGACGATGACTTTCACCCTCGGCTGCCTTATTTTCGAAAACTGGGGCAAATACGCGCGATGCGCCAGATCACGTCTGCTGTTTGAATGTGAGGCGATTTAACGTGGCGCTAAATGAGAACACAGATGTCAACTGAAGAATGAAGAAAACGCGATTAGACGATTTGTGGAGCGTAACACGCCACCCCGACCGCGACAACTCACCGTATGGGTAACTGACACACTCTCCGTTTCGCATGTAGTATCGGAGTACAAACTGAGATCTTTTTGGGCTTTCCCCGTTCTTTGACGGGCATCTGCCACGGAACGGTTGCCGCTTGCAGGGATCCACAGCCTCTGTAAAGTCAATTTAAATAGTTTGAAAAAAACGAGGTAAATAAAACGCTTGGCTCACCTAGAGCTTGCTAACAACGGCAACATTGCCGCCATTAGCGCTAAGAAGCGCATTTAAGCTGAAACAGTTTAACATTTTTTCAGCAGGTATAGCGATACTAACAGACCGGTCAATGGTAACGAAGAAATCGAAAAAAAGGCTCTCCTCCAGGCGACGACAAGTTCAGCTGAAGGAATTTAACGAATGGGCGACATAAAAAGGAAGTAGAGAGTCTTAAGGAAGTGGGAGGAGCGAGCTGGATTCTCTCGTTTTCATCATTTTGTGGGAGATGAAAAGATCTTGCAGAGAACGACACGCTTGAAAAAACAGCTAACACAACGAACAACTGCAATGAGTAAACAAGCAAATTGGTAGCAAAGTAGGTTCGCTTTTCGCAGAACAAACAGCGAAACTGTAAAACATGAGCGAGGGTCAGAACGAGGTATGCCCTCCAGGAACTGGTCGAGCCTGTTCGACACCGGTCTTTCACGCATCTTAGTCCTTTCATATGTAAAATTGGGGAGGAGGCGACCACAAATGATAACACGAAACTGGTCCGCAACTGTGGCGTCCACGACTCGCTTTTTCCCGACTCGTGGACACGAAGAGGTCGGAAAGAAGTCGAACTGGATGTGCGATTGTGACCGTTGTCATGAACCCACCGACAGTGTGCTCCGTTTTCACGGGCCCGGGTTCATAGATCGCCAAGCGCATTGCTGTGGTTGGACCGTACTGCGAAATCGGTCCGGATAAGATGGCCAACACGCCTAATGTGTTAAATGCAATAAATGAGCCGCGAATACAACTTGGATCGAGATGGCGCGAATTCGACGCTCTGCGCGAGGGCGTTCCTTTCTACTATAAAGTGTGTCGCTGTGCGCTAGCGTTGAGTTATCTGATCTTCCCCTGCTGGAGTCGTCCTTGACACGACGGCCCAGTAATGCGCAACCATCTATACTAACAGACACACATCACTGATTTTCTTGATAAATCTCCCACCGAAAAGAACGTGATAGCGATCTGTAGCAGCCGTTTTCCAGCAGAAGGACGAATCTCATTCCAAAAACAAAGGGGGTGACTTCTGGTTACTGCATGCAAGGATCGAAACCCGCTCATAGGAAGGCTTCTGACGCTATTATGATTTTTTGTACGATGCAACGCAAGTGGTCAGGAACTCGACATTTGGACATGAATGAATGACGGTCTGCAGGGCTACACTGAATAAGATCCTTCATCTTACAGCGGCGTGAGATTTATTGGAACGACTTCTCCCTTGAAATGAAGTTTCGGCATTGGTATCTCGATCGATAGAGCTTTTGCCCTTTGTTAACTGCAAAGTCATAGTGACTGGCGCCTGAAATGACCCCGAGGCCAGCATGAGAGCACAACCTTAACATGTGCTAATTAATACCTTATTGTAAAGTGAACCTCGCGACGAAGGCGACTATTAGAAGCACCGAACTCTTCCCAAGTCTGATAACAGTCCTATCAGAAAGGTGGAAAACAAAAAGTGTTGAATATCTGTCTCGTAGCCGCAATTCGAGAGCTCCACAAAATTTTTGGAACCCTATAAGATCGGTTTTTCTCGCATAGATGTTTTCTAACAAGGGCTTTCTTGAAGCATGTGAGCGATGGATTCTTCTTTTGGCAGACATGAGAGTTCCGATCGAAATCTTAAGGATATTTAAACCCATGCTTAGCCTGCCCAAGGAGTCGCAAAGGCCACCTGATGTTGAAGTCAACGTTTTTATCCTACCACGCTCAGCGACCGTGAAAGCTGTACGAAGCGCCCTCTTAGTGCGCAGTTTCCGCTGCGTGATCTTCTAGAGGATTTATTGAATTCAGTTGGACGCTCGTAGAAAGTGCTGAGTAATGCGGTAGGCGAAGCTTCCGCCAGCCTCTTACTGTTACTACCATCAACCTGCTCAACATCAATTTCGTATTATATCCAGCTGAGCTTGGTAAACTGAATGAAAGCCTTCGATGAAAGTTAGACAATTTCATTGAAGTTTAAGGAAGTCATTCGCACTGACAAACTTTGCACTTTCGCCTGGATTCTCTTTTGCTATACTACCGTGGAGTGTCGTAACCCTAACAAGAGTCCTCTCCCTGCCCTCTGAACTGGTCAAAACAAAAAATCCTTTGAAAACGTTAGAAAATATTTCGCGGCAACTCTGCTAAAAAATCGCAACATTGGATTTGGAATGAACCAATTATTAATTGTGTTCTGCAAGAGTCAAAGGATTAGAGGATATCACGACAACGACAGACGATGGCCAGCGTAGATGTTATCTGATCACCACAACATTCCATGGAATTCCCTAAATGCATAAACAATGATGTCGGAGGAAGATCGCCGAAAAGGCTCTTTCACAGTTGCTAAAAGTCACGTCGTGGTCCATATCGGCAGCCTACCTGATACCAAGAAAGAATGACAGTGACAGCAAGGTTGCTTGGCTATTCACTAGGTCGCATTGTTTAGCACTAGCTTCTTGAACATTAGTTATTGGCTAAAATTATTCTCTCTTTAGTTTCTATTACTTTACTTGCAATAATCGATGAGCAGTCAGTGCTACTTACAAGATGCTTGCAGTTCACATGAAGCTTCACCAAACTCCAGATGCCTAGATGTCAGTCCTCAAATAGTCTACTTTCCTGACGGTAGTCAATTTCAGAGCGGCATTCGCCCACAGTCTGATTCCCCATTTTGGCATTGCTTTAACACTTTGGAAACCGCACATGTTTTACGTTTTTTGGCCGCGTAGCATTCAACGAAATTTAGCCATTTTATCAAGCAAATTGGAATGAGAAACCTAGTGTACATGCAGAGGAAACCTTATCAAATGCGATAAAAAGAAAATAGAGAAAAAGATAAAATTTGTTCCCGAAATGTGGGCCGAAATGTTCTAAGCGGTTGGCGGACTGCAGCCCGCATATGGGCTGCATGGGCTCTATGGTGTTAATTCATTGTACATTTAAGTTGCATTTTATATTCTATTGATTTTGTCTATCATTCATTATTCATTCATAAGATCTTCGCTCCCCGCTCATTTTATATTCGTTATTATCGTTGTGGATCAAGGATGGTGCAGTTAGAATCTATCTGTCCCTCTCGGTGCTCTTCGATTGGTCAGTGCTCTAACAACCACGTTGAAGTGAAGAGCAAGCAAAGAGTAAGTTGTATAGGATTCACCCAATACAGCAAAATTAGGGCACGATAGAGCTTTGATTCCGGATTCGCATCAAGAAATCTGTGTTACAAAATTGAGGGCGCTTGTGCGTCGCTGAATAGCTGAGAGTTCAACAACCTGTGCTAACCAAGGAAAAGTTATAGTTTGAAGTGGTCATATGTGTGATTGTATGGTCATGGTAAATATAACGATGATGCGGTTTTAGACGCCTGTCAGGATCAATGCTTTTCGAATCTGTATCTAAGTTCCGGTAAACTCCCATGAACCCTAAAGTGGCGCAAGGGCATTATGGCCGACTGGTGCTGACTTAAACTGCTAATCTCAAAGTCTTCAAGCCTAGGTTTCCATAGCTTCGTGTGAATTAATGTGTGCGACCATACGACTAAAAGTGAGCTCTTTGCGCCTCGCCGATCGCTAGGAAAGCAGTGCGAACTTTCCATCCTTTCTGCCACTCCCCGGTAAAGCTTCTTATTGTTAGATCTATTTTTATAAGTTGTTATTAAACTGTTTTTACGTGTTGCACATAGTTATCAGTTGATGTTATAATTTTTTTTTTCTTCTTCTAGGTCTGATGGTGAGTCATGCAGTCAGTACCCACTTCGACTACTGTACCTGGCGCGTCATTGAACGCATAAATAAATGAACAAAAAAATTATTAGATCGCTACTATATACGAAACAGAGCAGCGGTGCTGGGACGGGGTCATCAGGTTGAAAGGTCGTATAGGTGACCCTCTCCAGCCTGCCTTTACGTGGGACATTATGTTGGATAAGCTCGAATTCCGTTAATGGCTCGACGGTATTGAATGAGAAAGAGTTTGCGAGAAGTTTCTGAGAAGTGTAGGAGCTAACTGTTATTGACTGCACAACGCTTTGCGGCAGATAGGGGTAATATTCGTGCTCGATAGACAATCTGTCACTGTAGGCAAATATTTAGCCAAATCTAAGATTTTGACCTGCCTTCAAATAAATGAGATGGTTTATCTAGTCATCATTTCATTGAAACAAATTGAGATAAGCCATTTGGGTCACGCTCTCAGGAAGAAGAATGTTGTTCGATTACCATGGGTTTGATTTTGAATGCACGTCGCAGTCGTTTGCGAAGTAACTCTAGAGTTATGGAAGAAGGAATATAGCACCGAGCTGCAATAACCCCCCCACAAATTTACCTAATTAAAAATAGCTCCAACATACCAACGAAGTTGATCCAGTATTTGACAGTTGGCTCGAATCGGTCTCCGTAGGTACTTCGACTCCCTATGCACTGATGTCACATTGATTTCTTGAACGTGCTGGGAAGGAAGGCGCATCTAATCCTTCCACTGGTCAGCTAAGTGAATCTCAGAGTGAATGATTCCAAACTCATTCAAAAGAAACTGTGGTTCAGCAATTATGAAAGTCAGGCTGACGTCAAATGGTCACTAAAGTGCGAAGAAAAACACTGGAGTGGATTGAACCCCGACTTTCATCTTGAAGCCCAACTGCTCTAACAACTGGGCACCGGAGCACATTTTACAATCCCCTAGCATCATTTTGATGCTGTGAGTGCTGAGCCTGACCTTTCATTGTGTCGAACTGTGCAGGAAACAAAACCTCTCTATGGAAAATCTATTGGCCAATTTTAATTTAGATCTGTCTTCGAGAACACATTCCATGGTACATATCTCATTGCCAGTGACCTTTTCGATCCTATTATCCCATTCTGGTAAGTCGAAGTGCACCAGTAAATAAGGATTGACGAAGTCTGGTTCAAGTACGTCACTGTCATAATTCGTTGCGCACTAAAATCACGCTGTTTCTGCAATAAATATCTATTATGAGCCACTTTCAAAACAGAAGTGTTCCGCACTCCTCCGTTTACGATCAGAGCAAGAATGGAAATCA